AAAAAAAAAAAAAAAAACAAAGTTAATTAATCCAAGTTACTAGGGCCACAGGCCTAGGGACCATGTATGAAAAGGATCATCGCTGTAGAAAGGAGAGGAGGCAGTAAGTATGCTCCAGCAATGCCACGGTCGCTCAGGACCACTGGCTCTGGCTGTGCAGATTGTGCACGCCATGGGGATGCCTGGTGGAGGGGTGAGAAAGGCCGGAGAACCAGCCAAAGTTCTGCTTGCCAAGCTGGATAACTAGGTTTGGGCTGCATTTGGAGAAACAGCCATTGTGTGAGCCATCTCATGGCTCATGTATGAGACAGCTCATACAATGGTGGCGTCCACTTGCCAAGCCCTGAATCCATAGGACTATGTCAGCCCAGAGGGAGACGCCTTTTTCTAAATTGTCCACGCGGAGGGAACACTGCAGGCCAGCAGTAGTCCTGAATGGATGCAGCATTTGGGGTATTTATCTTTAGAAATTATCAACGCCAACGGAAGATGAATTCAATCCTTAAGCATGGATCTGATTTCAGAGTAAAAAATCATTTGTTATCAAACAAATAAAGAAGGTGGGTGGTCCAGACCTGTGAAATCCAGTTTCTGGTTGAAACTTGCTTCACAAAAAGAACTCTGTGATCCAGAACATTGTCATGATAAGGGAGACAATACAGGACCAGAGACGGTCCACTGTGCACCTTGCAGAATGTCTAAATGTCCCAGGATTTTTATTTTTATCTTTGTATTTAAAAAAATTTTTTTTAATGTTTACTCATCGTTGAGAGAGAAAGAGCATGAGCAGGGGAGGGGCAGTGAGAGAGGGAGACACACAGAATCTGAAGCAGACTCTAGGCTCCACACTGTCAGCACAGAGCCCAGCATGGGGCTCAAACTCACAGACCACAAGATCATGAGACCTGAGCCGAAGTCAGTGCTTAACCGATTGAGCCACCCAGGTGCCCCTGTCCCAGGATTTTTATAGACTGCCTGAAAGTTAACCACAGGAGAAATACTGGGGTGGGAATGGTGTCGGGGCGGGGGTGGATTCTAGCTCTAGGCCTTCCAGAATCTATTAAGTGGCTTCTGGCAATTGAAGGCAGGCCCTCTGGGCCTTAGCCTCCTCCCCAAGGAAGTGTGTGTGTGTGTGTGTATTGTGTGTGTGTGTAAGGGCAGAGGATGATCTATAAAGTTTCCTCCAGCTCTGAGTTACTGCTCTTTGATTAACTAAATCATTTTAAGGGACCAGAGCATCAAACAGGCTCTATTATTTAGGCCTGTGATTTTGACATTTGTAGTCTCTCGGGTCTCAGGATTTCTTGGGAGACTTCTATTGCATATACTGAAACACATTTGACGAGCACTTGCTTACTTTCCCAAGTGCCATTTTATCTATTTCCCTTGAAAAAAACAAAGGTTTTTTTGTTAATTCATCACTCCAAATATTGGACCGATGGTCACAGAGACATTGCATACCTTCAAAGATTTCAGGTTTTGTTGTTGTTTTTGTTTTCATTTTGTTTTATACTGTATTTTGGTGTCTTTCTGCATTTTTTTTTCCTGATGAATCTAGTTTGGCAGAAACTCTAACCTTACAGGGCGTCTCCTCATTACCTCCGAATGCAAAGAATAACCTGAACTTGTCAACTGTTTCACTAAACCTGTGGGTGCTCAGGCTACCGCATCATGCATCATGGACATCTTTTCTGCTTTCCTTATCCCTCAGGGCCAATCAGATGTTTTTCCTCTTAACATCGATAATTCTTGGATGCTTCCTCACAAACACATCAAATATCTCACTTGCTTATTGGTCTCACATGATGTAAAATTTGATATTAATTTTAAATTCTAACGGTTCAATCCTTTCACCCTTTCCGCTTACTACAACAGACAGCCTAACACTAGACTGAAAATAGTCGTCGCAAGTTGAAAGACAACCCTCCCTGTCCCCGTAAGATCCCTCTTCCTTGGCATTTACAATTGCACAGGAGATTCTGAATCCACACTCTGTAGCCACACCAGGCGCCCTTACTTATAAAATGGAGCATTTTATATTTGTTACCCCCTTCTAAGTTTGTATGTCTCTCGTTTTGATCTGAACCAGCTGACCTGCAGTGCCTAGAAGACTGCTAACACCAGGCCTCAGCATTAATGGTACAGGATGTGCTCCCAATAACAAAAAGACCGAAGTCCTCAAAATGCAATCCTTGCCTCATTTACTCATGTAGAAAACATGATGGCTCTATGGCAAAAGCAGCAAAACAAAACAAAACAAAACAAAACAAAACAAAACAAAAACCCTTCAGGAAGACTGTGGATACACGGTCTTTGTGTGCACTGGCAAAACCAAATCAAACCCAAACAAAACCCCGAATGTCTTACTATCTAGTATATAGTCTCAGATTTGAAATAACTCTCCCCCCAACAAAAAGGGTGAGGAATATACCCATATTATTTGATCCTCAAATTCAGCTTTGGGGAAGTAATGTGACAATATTTACAAACACCAGTGGCCCTCTGTAAAAGGTGCTGGTTTCTATACTTCATAACCTTTGTTCCTGACGCAAAGGAACGTGTGACATTTGTTACACACTGGGGCCACTTCTCCAGCTGAAACACTGTGTGTGGATAGAGCATAGGTTGAAGCACATGCACCCACTTTCTGGGTAGCCTTTCTTCTGATTTCCTTGTGATAGGGTATGCCTTTAGGGCTACACAGCATTTAAAGAAATCAAAACAGTTAACGAAAGACACAGTTAGATAAACACTCCAAGGTGATCGAAGGTTTAAAATACAGCCCAAGTAGGGGCGCCTGGGTGGCGCAGTCGGTTAAGCGTCCGACTTCAGCCAGGTCACGATCTCGCGGTCCGTGAGTTCGAGCCCCGCATCGGGCTCTGGGCTGATGGCTCGGAGCCTGGAGCCTGTTTCCGATTCTGTGTCTCCCTCTCTCTCTGCCCCTCGCCCGTTCATGCTCTGTCTCTCTCTGTCCCAAAAATAAATAAACGTTGAAAAAAAAAAATTAAAAAAAAAAAATAATAAAATAAAATAAAATACAGCCCAAGTAAATTCAAAGAGGCCGGGACAGTTCTTTTCTCCATTTCCAGCCCACACATCTGCCTCCTGAGCTCAGACAGCATCCCAGATAGACCTTCTCTAACAACAACAAAATGCCTGAGTGCCACGGGGATTCTAGGACCCTCCTCAGATGGTTCTCATTGCTCCAGGGCAACGCAGGCCCCAGAACTCACTTCAAAGGCTTGAAACCACCTCTCTTCCCTGATGTATTTCACGCAGTCATCACACTGCTTCTGGAAGTACTTTCTCTGCTTCTCATCCAATAAGCCAATTTGGTACAGGAATGTTGCATAGCCCCCTATGATCTGAAGAGAGAAGAGAAACACAAATGCCACACGGAGAGAAAGAGAGAAGTTAGGGACCCACTTGCTTGATGAAATAACCCTTTGTAATTCATTGAGCGCGTGCTGAAATTAGCCAAACAAGACAATTACACACACACACACACACACACACACTCACACACACAGATCTCACAGAACACACAAATACGTACACAACACGTACATACATACACAATACACGTACCACACACAATGCCCACACACACCACAAGCATACACACACAACCCACATGTGCACAGAATTCACACAAACGTATCACACACACGTGCGTGCCCCACATTCGCACTCACACCCAATCTAGGCTGACATAGGGAGTTGACAGCTTAAAACATTTTGTAAAAATTGGAAGATTTCAATCATTAGAAAATCAACTGGGCAACATTATTTCCTTCTACCAAGTTAGGTCTCTAAGGCAAGAGGAGCCTCCATTTGACTAAAGGGGATTTAATCTTTTCAGGGACACAACAGAAAAGAAAAAGGAGACACCTACTGATTCGGGATCAGAATACGCATCCCCAATAGCAACTCCTTTCAGGTTGATTTTCGTTGTCATCACGGGGTTCAATGTATGGATATAGTGTGCAAAGGCTGGCACGTACTTCCCTGCGTAAGACTGAGAAGGGCGGGTGTTAAAATGAACCATCACAAATTGGTGCTATAAAAATTATGTGTTTATGGGGCGCCTGGGTGGTTCAGTCAGTTAAGCGTCCGACTTCAGCTCGGGTCACGATCTCGCGGTCCGTGAGTTCCAGCCCCGCGTCGGGCTCTGGGCTAATGGCTCAGAGCCTGAAGCCTGCTTTGGATTCTGTGTCTCCCTCTCTCTCTGCCCCTCCCCAGCTCACACCCTGTCTGTCTGTCTCTCAAAAATAAACAAACATTAAAAAAAGGTATAAAATTATGTGTTTAAGCTAATTAAAGAAAGACAGCAGTATTTCCACATGAGACATACCATATATTTTCTTTACCTTACGCTGTAAATTCCACAATAGCACAGAGCTCTGTCACTTCCTTTGGCATCCCAAATAGCACCCGTGACATGCAAGTCATGGGTGAGGTGCACAAAAAATGACAAGTGGATGTGTAATAGGCGAACAGTCTAATTTCCTTCCAAAATAACATGGGCCAGTGAATACAATTCCGCCACCCACAGAACCTTTCTTACCAGAAAGCTCCATTGAAAACTTCATTTACAAAGAAAAAGAAACCCCCAAGGCCAAAAGTAAGATTTCAAAATACTTACGATGATGCAGCTTGAAAGCAACATGTATTAAAGCAAGAGGAAAAGGAGAGTAGTATTTATTGGCTACTGAAATTGTCACTTGACAACTATCTCTGTTTCCAACCTTTCCAAGTACAAAGTTCTTTTCCAATTTTAAAATATTTTGTGGATGCAAACATTATAATTCTGCTTTTAGATTATGCTGACAAAAGCTACTATTCAGGGAGGTTTAAAAAATCGTTTTGTATTTTTTACATTAAAAAGCTTCCTTTTGGACCATCTCCACCTTCATGTCTAATATCAAACTTCATATGTTCAAAATGAAGCTCTAATCCCCAAGCCTTCCAACAGCCTCTCTATTATTAACTCTGTTCTAACTGCTTAGACCAAAAATCTTGGTGCCATTCTTTCGCCCCC